GGGAGGAGGCCCCGGGGAAGACCCAGGACACGCTGGAGGGACTATGTCTCTCGGCTGGCCTGGGAACGCCTCAGCATTCCCCCGGAGGAGCTGGAGGAAGTGTCTGGAGAGAGGGAAGTCTGGGCATCTTTGCTTAGACTGCTGCCCCCGCGACCCGGTCCCGGATAAGCGGAGGAAAATGGATGGATGGACATAGCCAGACTAGCTGTTTCCCCCTGCTTCCAGTCTTTATGCTAAGCTAGGCTGAAAGTCCAGTTGTGTACTTCACAAGCAGATAGGAGGCTGATAAATATCTCACTCAGAACAAAGCACATGAGTGTATTTCCTAAAGTGTTCCTGAAAGCTTTGGACTGTTACTCAACTGCTTTATTTCAGTGTTGTTACCGAACCACTAAACATTTGCCATCATTTGGTATGTGTGTGAATACAGTCACCCAAACAAAACAGGACACATGTTTCCATCAACATGAACAGATTTTTATATCTTTAGAGCAATAAATATTTCCACTTTTTTCATATCTCTGCAATTTCAAAAACAAAGTACAAGTAATATATATTTATATACACAGCTAAAATCTCCATACATAATTTTTAAAATAATGTTGTCTCTGTTGACACATATTTGACACTGTACTGATACAATTTTACAAGGACTACTCCAGTCTCTCTTTGTTCTACATTATAAACAAGAAATATTTTTTCTCCATAAATCGGTCCAGCTTAGACCTCAGGAATCTTGACCTTGTATACATACACACAGCACAGACCTGTCTTTACATAAGAATGTCAGAATCCAACTTTTAACTTATTTGAAGCAGATCTGATGTGCTTTGATTTGAAAAAAAAGTTCTGTTTTGCCTACAGCAGTCAGACCAGACCTGTTTCTCTTGGTGTTAAAAATCTGATCTTCCACTCATGATGTAAACCCTGTCAAACTTCCTGCTGCTGAGCAAAGTGAGTTCTCGCATATTTTTCATATAATAATGGTTATGTACATTCATGTTTATAATACAGTTTCATTCAGTGCAGATAGTCTAATAAATACCACATGCAAACCAATAGTGGAGAGCAGACCCGGGCAGAAAAAATAAATAAATTGAGCATTTAAAAGACCATACCTAGGTTTTTGCATGTTTTTAAATGCACATACTGTACATTACTTCTGCAAACCAAACGCCAGTGATTGCAATTTATTTTAACAAAAATCCACTTGTAGAGATTTGAATCCTACTGCAGATAACTAATCCGTCACAGTGAATTTGCGTTTAACCATTATATTTGAGAACTGATATTTGTTTGCCTTACGTATTGCATTGAGCTTTGTTGTCCATAAGTTAACCTTAGAATTAACAAAAAAAAAGTAAACCGACATGGTCAAAAGAAGCTATTTTGTGTTGTTAGTTTCCAAAATAGCCTGTCCTTTACAAAGAGTGAAAACTCTGACAAACATAATGGTAAACTAGGCCTGTAAGTGGGTATATTAGCATCCAAGCACTCAACACAACTCACAACTATGCATCAGGAGGCCAAGATCATGTCTGAATATGTTTGAACATC